CTCAACCGAGCAGGGGCTGGGTCCTTGTTAAAGCTGCTGCCAGCAGAGGCCTCAGAGATGCCACTCAGTGCCCCTTTCCCATGGGTCACACAGGATCCCTGCTCCATGAGGGCAGAGCCTGCCCAGCAGAACTGGAGGCCACAGCACTCACCCTGCCTCCCTGCTGCCTGCCCCCGGCTACAAGCCCCCCAGTCTCTGAAGTCCTTCCTTCATCTTGTCTACATTCCTTTGCAAAAACTCACCAAAGTAGAACTTGGGATGACTCATTCGCAGGCCAAAGTGCCTGAAGAGTCTTTTAATGAGATTTTTTTCAAGGCTTTTCATCCCTTTCCTCCACTGCCAGCCTTTCCAGAGACAGGAAACTGTGTTAAGAGTTTGACATTTTCTTGCCAATTTCTCAGCTCAACCCTTTGCTCCCTGAGGCTGGAGTGAGAGTACCCAGGGGCCAGTGGTGGGCGCCAGGTCAATGAGTTGGCGGGCAGCCAAGGGGGAGAGTTCTGCAGGCAGGAAGGGGTAAGGAAACTGTTCAAGAGTAATCAGGCAGAATCACTGAAGACGATTCACAGGTGGGGGCCCCCTGCCATGGAGGGGGCTCCGAGATGGGATGAGGTGTGTGCCGGCACCACCGTGGGTTACTGCAAGTGCAGAAAGTTGGGGGGTGGGATGCAGACAGGTGGCAGCTTGGGCTGGTCCAGGGACCTGTCTGGTCACCACAGTGGGAAGCTGTCACCATTTCTGTGGTCAGTGGTCAGCTGCCAGCCAGGCAGCCTTACATCAACCCCGAATCCCTTCCGGGGGTCAGTTTCCCCACCCAGGAAGCAAAGGGATTGGAGTTAATGGGCCTCAAACACTTCCAGGTTTGACATTGGAAGACCTTTCGACTGGGTGTAAGGAATGCTGGGGAGGAGATGGGAGGACATGGCTGGGAGCCTCATGGCCTCCACTCCAGTCTTGGCTCTGCTGTGGACCCTGGCAGGCATTCAGCTTCTCCCAGCCTAAGATGAGGAAGAATATGCCTCGCAGCAGGACCCCGGTGAGTGCACCCTGCACATCAGTGGCCCTATCAGTGAGAACTGCATCTCAACTCTTCTGGGAGCCCCTGAGACCCGCCAAGGCTCTCCTGCACCTCCACGTCTCTGCCTGGGCTGTCCCCTCTACCTGAGCTGCCCTGCTAGCCATCCCTGTCTGGGGAACACCTGGCTTCCCTTGAAGGCTCACGTGCAGGCTTCTCCCTGCAGCTTCTCCTGACTCTCTGTGGCAGGGACCACCCACCCACACCGAGCTCTGGCTCCCAAGATCCCCTGTGCAGACCTGTGTACAACATGACACAGGTTGGCCTGGCCAGGCTGAGCCCCTGGAGGCTGGGCCTGACTGTTCTCACCTCTGGACTCTCTCTGATGCCCAGCCCAGTGGCTGGTACAGAGGGTTCTGAAAAATACCTGCTGAGGGAAGGGTGGACGGGGTGTCCTCTGAGGCTGAACTCCCCCAGATACTTTCTTCACCCTAGAACACCCTCAGGGCAGGACAAGCTCACATGAAAATGGCCAGAGGTGGATAACCAGCATAGCTGGAATTCCAATGTCAATTTGCACCAAGCTCCTGACAGTGTCAGGAATGCCATTCCCCACCCACCCCTGCCAGGCAGGCCGTGAGTATCTGAGAGAACAGGCCCCTCACTTGGTGGCTGACAACGATGGTGCTTGCTCCAGGCAGCCAGGACATGCAGTACCAGGACAGCTCCCCTTGTGGTTGAGGTGATTCTTTCCAGGGCGTTGCTCCCCAGCCAGCAGTGGGACTGGTCATCGGGAGCTGGGGCTCCTCTGGGAAGCAAGTTCATCTCCCCTGAGTGGGTTACCTGGCTCGGCCATAGGAGGCCTAGCCCAGCCCACCTCCCCAGTTCTGGCATTCTTCAGGGGAAAGCTGGGCAGGTGAGAACACCCCTGGTCTTTGGAGGTGGTGATCTAATGCCTCTAGATCTGCGTGCAAAACTAGACTCCCACCTCTAGCTCCTCTGGGTGCAGATCAGTCACCCAAATGACAGTTCCTGATAATCAGGTCCACGGGATGGGTGCAGGAAGGCAAACACAGAGTCTGATGGTAGAGGCTGCTGGGCTGCCTTCCCAGTCTCCCTCCACCTCCTCCCCTCACCTGGGAGGTGCAGGTGGTCCAGCCCACAGATGGGGACATGGGGAGAGTTAGAGAACCCCCGATGTCATTGGTGGAGGTGGCCTTAGAGCCCATCAAAGCCCAACTCCCCACCGGACAGATGTAGGGCAAGAAACTTACCCCAGGGTCACACAGGGAGCAGTGAGTGGCAGGACAGGACTCCTATCCAGAATTCTGGACAATGGGTCCTTCCTGTGGCTGTTAAAAATGGACTTCAATCAAACTGCAGGGCTGACCCCAGAAAACAGGGGCAGGGTAATGGGAATCACACTAGATAACACTGACACGGCGCTGGCTGGGCTGGGGACGCTGTCTGTCAGCAGCTCATTGCCATACCCAGTGCACAGATGGCCAAGGCCATAAGGCCAGTGAGTGCAGGAAGCCAGGCATGAGGCCCGTCCCCTGCCTTCCCCACCAAACGCAGCCGGGCCCTCGGGACTACATGCCTACGCTGTGAGGGTAGAATCAACGTGTCGTCAAGGGCGGTCCTACGTCTAGGGAATGGCACACCCCAGCGAGGAGGGGAAACGATGCTCCTGGCCCTCTGAGCCCCGCTGTGAGCTGGCATCTGGGCCTGCTTTTATAACTGAGGGTGCACTGCATAGGGGATTGAGAATTCCGCAGGAGACAGCTGGTGCTATTACTTCTGCCACTGGGTCTAGGTTCCTTGTGTGCTCCCTGGTTGGGACCTCAGCCCTGGCACATCCTGGGTACTCAATAGGCTGCTGTTCCCTCGAAGGCAGGTCTGCACTGGAGTCACCACAGGGCCCCAGTGCCAGCCAGGCAGGCCCTCAGTTCAGGGGCTCAGCACTTCCCCACCTCTGCCTGGATGAACATGAAGCTGGAGCAGCTGACGGGGCTCTGGCCCTCCAGGATGAATGGACAGGCTTGGCATGGAGTGCTCTGTCCAGTCCTCCCTGCTCCTTTCGTGGAGTCCCCTCCAAGCCAGGCCCCCAGCCACGGGGATTCCAGGAGGAATGAGGTTCACTGAGGAACTCAGAGACAGATGGGGAGGGAGACAGAGTAACAACCCCAAATGACCAGTGCCCCAGAGGGTCCCTGGAGCACTGAGGAAGCCCAGTACGCAGGGAAGGCCGGTGACACTGAGTCCTGTCGCTGATGCCACCTGCTTCCTTTACCTCTCACAGCCCAGAAGAGTGCCACTCACCTCGATGGCGCCATCAGCACGCCTGGTGACATGCACACCCCCCTGCCGCTGCCCTCTCCTCAGTCCAATTCCACTCCTCTGGTTTTAGCCAGTCCTGCCCAGCCCCAGAGGCAGTTTAGCACATTGAACTTTCCTTGGCTGCCATAACCGATCCGATTCTTTCAGTCACCAGGTCTGATGGCAGACAATGAATTACGCAGGCACCAGCAGCCTGGAGAAGAGCAAAGTACCTATCTCTTGTTTGTCTGGAGTGCCCTACCCGCTGGCTAGAAGCCCCCTCTGCATCCTCTCTGGTTAGGCGGTGGTCCAGCCTTTGGTCTTCTTCGCCCAGTGATGACAGGCTCACTACCTCGAGGCCGCTTGGGTAGCTCTAATTCTTGATCTGGCTGTTAGGAAGTTTTTCCTCTTGCAGAGCTGGAATCTGTCTATCCATCATCTGCCCAGAAGTCCCTAATCTGCTCATTGGTTCCCTCTGCCCTGACAGTCCTTGAGAGACGCATGGTCCCCACCCCGTGTCCACATGCTCTCTCTTCTCTAGGTGGACTCCCAAAGCCTGTGTGCCATGCCCTGCCCGCCTCTGCCCGTGCCTGCCGCCCTCCTGACTCTGCAGTTTGTCATTGTCCCTTTCAGGGCAAAGCCCAGAAAATGCGGGGGGAAGAGTCAGTCATCAGCAGAGAACACAGGCCAGTTTCACCTTCCTTGGTTTTACTGAAGCCTCTGTCTACATGGCCGGCATGTGTGTGGGCTCTCCTGACAGCCGTGTCCCCGCAGGCCTGCTCTCCCTCCCATGGCCTCTAACAGCGGTAAGTGGGACAGAGAGGATGCCGGGCAGAGGGCTTCACTGCTTCTGGGAGGTCTGTGGGCCTGTGCTGGCTGAAGAGCCTGGGTTTACACCCCAATTATGTCACCAGCTCTCTATGTGTCCTTGGCAAATCTGTCCTTTCTCTGGGCCTCAGTTTTTCTGCAAAATGGGTTTAGACATTATTTTGGGTCCCGTCCAGCAATAGCACCCAACTAAAACACCCTTTTCTTATTTCTGGACCTGCCCATCCTGACAGAAAAGCCTCACAGGTCAGAAAGATCTGAGAGTTTCCAAAGCTGCCACAGGCAGTAACACCAGCTCTTCCCGGCGCTCCTCCTAGACTTTGCGCGAACCCAAACTCAGGCCCACCCAAACTGCAAGCCAGAGCACTAGGAAAGGGTCATGCTCACAGTGGCAGAGAGTTACGGGCTGGTCACAAGTCTTGGCCCAGCCACTTGGGCCAGTCACACCCTCCTCCGTGAGCCTGTTTACTCATCTGCAAACTGGGGACAATATGTTCCTCAAAAAAATGAAAGGACCGTCGTGGGCTCTGAGAGAGGGATGAGGCATGCTAGGAGCTTCCTACCACCCCGCCTCACAGCAGATGTGAAAGCTATTCTCGGATAGTTAATATAAAATCCTAGGAAAAGGCCCCTCGTCTTCTGGGAGGGCAGCAACGGCAAACATAAAAACTCCTCTGTATCCCAGGAGAATAGGATCAAATCGAAAAACCCAGGCTTGAAATAACGTGTGCTGGCAAGTTTCCCAGGGGACACTGGCGGGTCTTTCCACCACAGGCACAGTGACCAGCCATGCTCGCGGAGGCTGCCGAGGAGGGCTGGGGGTGCTCGGGGCAGCACTCACCTCAGGGAGAGGGAGTAGTCATGCTTGCTGGTCTGGCTGTTCCGGACAAGGTAGCTACACTCCTTGCAGAGTCGAAGCAGGTTCTCAGCGTCTCCTCTGCTGATGGCTCCATGATACCATCTGTGGAGAGGGTAGAGAGCAGTCAGAGCCCAGCATGATGGGATTCCCATGGCCCTAACCTGCCTTGGGAGGCTCAGCACCCGCAGGGAGCCTCCCTACACAAGCAGGCATGCACTGGTTCATTCCGTGGGTATCCACTGCCCGCCTGCTGCTGCCAGGGCCTGGGGAGAGCACAGCAAACAAAACCCAGTCTCTTTTCACTGGAAGCTTACGCTCTGGTGCAGGGAGTCAGGCCACAGACACTCAAGTCATCACAGAGCACACAGTGTGAGGACAGGCACCATGGAGATGAAGTGGCATAGGGTCATGTGGCTGGGGGCTAGTGGGGGACTATTTCAGGCAGGGTGGCCAGGGAGGCCTTTTCAAGGTGCAGTGGCTCATGCCTGTAATCCCAGCACTTTGGGAGGCTGAGGCGGGTGGATCACCTGAGGTCAGGAGTTCAAAACCAGCCTGGCTAACATGGCGAAACCCCATCTCTACTGAAAATACAAAAATTAGCTGGGCGTGGAGGTGGGCGCCTGTAATCCCCCTTACTTAGGAGGCTGAGCCTGGAGAATCACTTGAACCTGGGAGGCAGAGGTTGCGGTGAGTTTAGATCACACTACTGCACTCCAGCCTGGAAGACAGAGCAAGACTCTGTCTCAAAAAAAAAAAAGAAAAAGAAAGAGAAAAGAAAAAAAAGAAGAAAAAAAGTGACATTTCAGTGTAGACCTGCAGGAGGGGAGGAGGGAAGCCAGAGAGGAGCTTTCTTGGTAGACGAATCAGCAGTGAAGGCCAAGGCAGAAAACTGCCTAGAGTGCTCTGGAAACAGCCAGGGGCCAGCATGGACAGACACAGGCAGCAAGCGGAAGGGGTGGGCAAGAGGTCTGGAAATGGGGCTGCAGCAGGGGCTTTTCTCTGTTTGAGCAACATGGAAACCATCAGAGGGTGCTGACGGGAGGGCCACACTCTGACTCAGGGATGTGTGCAGCGACATGGATGGTGGGCAGTGAGGTAGTTGTCCGTGCTCCTGCCAGACGGCTCTAGCACCACTTGAGCATGTGGGAATCCCAGCATTACTGCTCCCAGACACCCAACATGCCAGAGGAGGGCAGGCGGCAGAATCTGAGGAGAGGAGTGCCATGCAGAGGGCCCGACTCATCCCCCATCTCCCATCAGAGGAGGAAATGGGCGCAATAATTTTCTTTCTTTTTTTTGAGACAGGGTCTCATCCTGTCACCCAGGCTGGAGTGCCGTGGTGTGATCACAGTTCACTGCTGCCTCAAACTCCAGGGCTCAAGCAATCCTCCCGCCTCAGCCTCCAGAGTAGCTGGGATTACAGGTGCGTGCCACCACACCTGGTTATTTTAAAATCTTTTCTACAGACAGGGTCTCACTATGTTGCCCAGGCTAATCTCGAATTCCTGAGCTCAAGTGACCCTCCCACCTCACCTCCCAAAGTGCCAGGATTACAGGAGTGAGTCATTACATCTGGCCTGATTTTCCTTTTGTGTGTGTGTGTGTTTCTTTTTCTTTTTCTTTTTTTTTTTTTTGGTTTTTAGAGACAGGTTTTCACTCTGTTGCCCTGACTGAAGTGCAGTGGTGTGATCATGGCTCACTGCAGCCTTAAACTCCTGAGCTCAAAGGATCCCCCTGCTTCGGCCTCCCAAGTAGTGGGACTATAGGCACGCACCACCATGCCTGGCTCACTGATTTTCACGACTGGAAGAGCTGACAGTAAAATTGCAGGGCAAGAATAAAGATCCTCATTGCCCATGAGTGGACACACTCAAAATACATTCCTGTTTACATGACGGTCTCTGTGGGGCAGTGGAGCGGGTGAGACTGAGCCATGAGAGGCAGAGGCACTGAGCATTACCATGGCTGGAGTGTGCTTTGTCCACAGAGACAAGGATGCTGCTCCAAATGGTGGCTCTGCTGCCCACTGGCCAGGCAAGCCGCTGACCAGGTGGCTTCTATTACGGGAGGATCATGCCAATCTCTCTTGGGTTGTGAGAATGTAACAAGTGGCCCCACAGAAAGGGCTAACGTAGAGCCTGATGTGGGGCGAGTCTTAACCGACGGCAGTTGCAGCATTAGTAGAAAGAGACTGCCCTCGCAGACCACGTGGTGACATCCCCATCTACAATGGTTGCAGGCCCCTGCCCATCCAGAGGCTGCATTTTACATTTCCAGGTGCAAGTGGGGATGCTGCCTCCCGGTGCCTGTCTCAGAGTGTCCTGCAAACCGTGCCCCTGAGAGTTCCAGCACTGACATTCTCCTCAGAGAAAAACCCACACCGCCCATCCCCGTGCAATTCCCCCCACTCACAAGGCAGAGCTCAACAGTTAGTAGCAGTGGCCACAGCAAAATTAAAACCCTAAGAGAAAAAATCAACTTTAAAGTCAAGGACTGGAGAGTAAATGTGAGTGTCCTTGTCCAGTGGGAATGTGGCCAAGCGGTGGATGGTCCAGGCGGTGGCCACCAAGCTGGACATCCGGAGGGGAGACCTTCTAGGGGAGAAGGCAGGAAGAGCATGCAGACCACAGACCCCATTCTTTCTAAAGATACAGAGAAATATGTAAAGAGGAACGTGAAGTTGGGGAATGCATGGGTTGCCACAATTAAAACACCACAAGTAAAACATTTCCTGAGACATGAAGGCCCATGTTATGCTTTAGAAAGGCTACATGGCTGTAATCAGGAGAAACAAAGACAGCACTGACTTCGGAAGTAGGAGTTAACAGGTTTGGGAAGGCCGTCCTCTGGGAGATTTCACTGTGTAACACACCCTCAGTGAATGGACAAAAACGTTTTATTAGAAAAACAAGTCCCAGCCATTTGAAGCTGAGCCGTCCTCAGGGAAAGGCCTAGAAGTGGTCCCTGGGGAGGTGCTGCCTGCCGTCCACCCTCCCTGAGCTCAGGAGCAAGCCCTGCTCTGAGGGGGGCACGGCCTCTGGATTCTTGTTAAGGGGAATCCGGGTGGTTAACACGATAAGCTACCAGTCCCTTCCCCAACCGCTCCACACAGACGCAAGGGCAGGGTACAAGGGGCTGAAAAACAAAGGAGAGAAGCAGCAGAGGGTGCTGGATCTGGAGGCCAGGCCGGCACTGGCCAGCCTGTCAGCAGGAGGCTGGAGACCAGGAGTCAGGCTGGGCTGGGCGATCCTGTGGGGGGCTATGGCCAACTGTTGGGCCCACGGAGGCCTTGCTTCACCTGGAAAGAGAATCCAGGCAGGAGGTCATCTCAGGGATGGGCTGGACCTCATGGGGTTGGCCAGTCAGGTCAGAACCAGGGGAATTAGGGAGACTCAACTTTCGTCCCTCACCCCAGCCAATACCCATGAGCTCATCCAGTATTTACTCACCACTCACTATATCCTTGATCTCACGGGGCTGACGGAGGGAGAGAGAGAGTCAACAGAGAGATACAGGAAACAATTCCAGATAGTGACGAGGGCTATGCAGGCATCCTGGGGTTACGATAAGGCAGTGACTGGGGTTGGGTGAGATGCCTGCTTAGAAATGAACAGACAGGGGAGGCCCCTGAGGAGATGACATGTGGCCTGAGAACATGAGAAGGAGCCAATTGTGAAGAGCTAAAGAAAACATCTTCACTGCAAAAAAGGCAGCAAGTGCAAAAGTCCTGAGGTAGGAATGCGCTTGGCACTCACAGAGCAGAAAGGCGGCAAGAACGGCCCAGGTACTGTGAGCAGTGGGCAGAGCAGAAAGGCGGCAAGAACGGCCCAGGTACTGTGAGCAGCGGGCAGGAGGTGGGCCCAGTTCTTGTGCCCAGGAGGAGAAGTTTGATTTCATCCTCAGCAGTAAGAGTCTTAAGAGATGTTTGCCCTGGGAAATCTTACAGACGGTCAGTCAGCTTGGCCTGAGGAGGGGTCAGAGAAGACAAGTCAGGATGCTAGTGCAGTAGTTCACATGGCAGGTGGCTGCGGAGGTGGAGGAATGATGGATTCTGGTCGTCCTTTGGAGGGAACACTGGCAGAATTTGGTAAAGCAACAGATGCTGGTGTCCGGCAAAAAAAGGAATTACGATGATGCCGGGTTTGTGGCTTGAGCCACACCTAGTTAGATGTGACACCTAGTTAGATGTGTTTATGGAGGTGTGGAAGCTGGGGGAGGAGCAAGTTTTGAGGAGAAGATCAGAAGCCCAGTTTTGAACACGTTAAGTTTGAGATGCCCACTTGTCAGCCAAATGGAGATGCCAGGAAGCAACTGGACGTAGGAGTCAGGAGCTCTGGGAGAGGTGTGGGCTGGTGCTACACATCTGTGAGCTACCACCAGGATCCTGGGAGAGACAACCCAGGGAGAGCACGTAGTTGGAGACTGAGCCCTGCAAAGTCGGACCTTCAGGTCAAGAAGAGGCAAGGAGCCAGCAGAGGAGATGGAAGAGTGGCCACGGAGGCAGGAGGAGCACCAGGCCCAGAGGCCCAGAAGGAGAGTGGTCAACTGTGGTGACTGCCATGGAGGACAGAGGGGGTCGTCTGGGGACCCAGGCTGGTTGTGGTGGGTGAGAGAGAAGGGGAGGTGACAGAGAGGGGAGAAGTGCTGGCAGCTCTTTGGATACTGTTCATTCATGCAACAGCTATTTATTCAACACTTGTTATGTGCTGGGCACTGTTCTGGGCACAGGGGATGCAGCGGTGACTTAGACGAGTTCCTGCCCTCATGGAGTTTCTGTTCTCAACAGGCACAGTACCTAGAGAGGAATGTTGGGTCAAGGTTTTTTTTTTTTTTTTTTTTTTTAACTTATGTTGGCAAAGTTTGTTACTGGGACATGTTTATACACTGATGGTAATGATGGAGGAAGGAAGAGGGGTATGTGTGGGGCTGCCTCCAGGAGGCAGTGGGGACAGACCCTGAGCACTGGAGCAGCCTTTCTGCTGTCCCAGGAGGCGAGGCAGGTGGTATGGGCACCTAGGCAGATGTGTGCCTGCCCATCCACGGCCACCCCGTGTGACCCGGGGCATACCCCCAGTGCCTTGGTCTCCCCTCCTACCTCCCTCTGTGCTAGCGTGGAGGAGAGGTTCAGACCGGAAGGCGCCTCCTGAACTCCAGAGCAGCATCAGTCCAGCGGGGGACAAGGTGATCCTCTTTAGTGGGGTCATCAGGCTCTATCCAAAGTGGGATTTTACCTTAAGCACACCCCTTGGGTGATGAGTCAGGACTTCTGACTCATCTTGGGGAGTTAATCGTGGAGAGATGAGACGATGGGGGAGGAAAAGCCAGTCATGATGCTGGACTTGGCTGGGGGCCTCATCAAGCGGGAATGGGAAAGGAAAGGCAGCCCAACTCCCCCCGTCTTGCGATGAAGGCTGAGTCCGGGGATGGGAGAGGGCAGGCTGGGCCCAGACTGACCCAGGCAGACCTGGCCACTGCTGGTCAGGATGCACGCCGAACATCTGTGGGTCACAGTTTGTTGATTAAAAGTACACAGTTTGATCAGAAATAAGCAAAACCTGCCAGATGATCTGCACAGCTGTGAGACATGATTCACAGCATCGGCTAGGAGCACCCCCCCACCTCCCACCCCCCGCCCATGCACCCTGTACCGAAGGAGTGGAGCACTCACAAAGGTGGCAGAAGCCTCCAGAGGTGACAGCACTTGCTTAAAAGGGCGGCATATGACGTCATTCGGAAAACCCTGCATCCTGCTCACCGAGTGAGAATTTCCTGTGAGGGGATGCCCTGCTGGCCATGCCAAGACCAGAATCCCCGGGCCAAGACAAACACAGTACATGACACACACCAGGGAGGGCTCACGAACCGTGCGTGGTGTCAGTGAGTCTTGTGGCCTTATGTGTGCCTACTCAAAGGGTGGGAAGAGCAAAGAGTAAGTGGAGGACAGAGGAGGGGAGAGGGTAGGGACTGGGTCACGAGGTTGGGGGCACTCTGACCCATGAGTCCTTGCCAAGGCTCTGCACCACTCTGGGCTCTGATGTTCTCATCTAGGCAATGGGCTAACAACCCTTTACTGTACATTTTCTTGTTTAAGCAGACAAGACACCTGAGGACACCAGCGCAAGTCCTGCACCTGCTTTGTCAAGTTCCTGGAGAAGCTCATTCTAATCCAGGTATGAGGCACGGTTAGAAACTGAAAACATAGTTTGGGGACAATTCACAGAATGAATGGCAGGCTAGGGAGGTGGGACTTTATCCTGGGGATAATGTGGAGCCACTGAAGGTTTCAGAACAGAGCAGGAACCTGCACCCAGGGATGATTTGGCAGAGCAACGAGATGATAACCATGGCCAAGGGGAGGGGCAATAAAGGGCTGGGCCCTGCACAGTGCTGGGGGCAGCAAGGACAGACAGGGATGTCGGACCTTGGGGGCAGCATGGATGGGACTTGGCCACTGACTGGAGGTGAGAAACCTCTGGGCAAAGGGGCTGAGAAAACCTGCATCAGGAGTGGAAAGGCCTTGCCCAGCTCTAACAGTATCAAGCAGACATGGAGCAAGAACACGACTGTAGCTAGAAAACAAATCTAATTTACACGCAGTTTTACACTTAGGGGAAAGGATTTAGTTTATATTTCGTTTTTCCAAGAATTTATTTGCTGCATGATGAATGAGAAACTAGGATGTGAAAAGGAGGAGTGCACCCTGTAGATTCTTTTTTGCTGTCCCTCCTGCCATTGAAGGTAAGGGTGGCCACATAGTGTGGACAGCGTAAGTTCAGGGCTAGAAGCCAGGAGGTATGTGTTCTAATCCTGGGCCTACCACTGGCTGGGTGGGAGCCTCGACCTTCCAAGAGCCTCAGCCTGCCCATGTGTACACAGAGGGGGAGGTAGGGGCAGACTAGAAGGCCCCTGGAGTTCTAGCATGTCTCAGTTTGGGAATTTTTTTTTTTTTTTTTTTTGAGACAGGGTCTCACTCTGTGGCCCAGGCTCGATTGCAGTAGTGTGATCACAGCTCACCACAGCCTCAACCTCCTGGCCTCAACTGAATCTCCTGCCTCAGCCTCCCAAGTAGCTGGAACTACAGGTGCATGCCATCATACCTGGCTAATTTTTGTATTTTTTTTTCCTTTTTTCTTGTAGAGACAGGGTCTCACTATGTTGGCCAGGCTGGTCTTGAACTCCGAGGCAAGTGATCCACCCACCTCGGCCTCCCAAAGTGCTGGGATTACAGGTGTGAGCCACCACACCTGGCCCAATCTATGGATTTTTAAAAGAAGATGACATGAAAGAGAGGGCAAAAACTAGGTGAACTGGGAGGTGAGGTGGGGCTTTGCTCCCTCAGAACTTACATTTGCTTCTCCAGGGGAACAGCAGGATCCACCCTTTCTCCTAGGATCCCGCAGAACTCGGGGCTCCCATGTTTGATAGGCTTAAAGCCCCCTCCAGGGGCACGAAGCTGGCGCCGCCGGTCCCGCGAAGGCGAGGGGGATGACTGCCGCTTCTCGTTGCCATTAAACTGTGCTGTGGGGAGGGAGAGAGAGAAAGTGCAGGGTTAGCAGAGCTCAGCCCAGGGAGCTACTGTGATGCACAGAAGGGTAACGTTCAGTTGCTCTATTTGGCACTTTACGACTTGCAGGAGGAAGGGTTTCAAGCAAAGAAATAACATGGCACAAAAGATTTTGGCTTCCTAAGACAGGACACCCACGTGGTCACAGCCCAATGGGGCATGTGAGGGGCTGGTTGAGCCTCCGGAGGCCACTGAGCTCAGCCTTACCCCCACAGGAACCTCTCTGCGGCCTCCAGCAGTGGGGCATGGCACTGCCTTGGGGGAGCTCTGTCCTCAGGACAGTTCTCAGGGGAAAAGGCTGTTTCTTGTATTGGGCCAAAAATCTGCCTCCAAGTGGCTCCTCTCCTCCTCTCATCCCACCTCAGGCCATACTGGCCACATCTGTCTCTTTCCCTGGGATACTCCTACAGAGTGCCACTTGGGGGTCATACTACATCCCCTGTATTCAGATCCCCTGCATGCGTCCAGGATCCAGCACCCAGGTGAGGCTGAAGCAGTGCCTAAAGCACAGGAAGGGCCATTCACATGCTCTTCTCCCCGCCCTGGGCCTGTGGGAGCATCGTTCACTCCCAGAGGCTGGGGGAGGATGCTCCTTGAGGAAGACCCTGGAGACACCACAAAGAACAGAAAGCACTGAGCTAAAACTAGAGTTGCCAGAGGGTTCCTGGAGACCAGCAGTCCACCTTGCCAGTTATCCAGATGGGCCTGTTTCCTTCTTTGAAAAACAGGGATAATGACAGCACCCATCTCATGGGGATTAAAGCCGGTGACACACCTATAAATCTTAGTAGTGTGCCTGGAACGCAGTCTGTGCTGTTATTATAAACCACACTTATCGTGTCTGCTCAATGCACACACAGTACTAGGCACCTCATAGAAGCAACTGAACCAACCTGAGTTCCTCTCCTAAGCCTGTCAGTGACTAGCTGCAAGCCTCGGCTACGCTACTGAACCTCTTCGAGTCCCTGTTTCTTGTCCCACCAGGCTGCTGTGAAGGTCAGAAGGGAGGATACTCCAGGACCTGACACACAGAGGGTGCCTAAGAAACGAGGCCAGAGCCTGCAGAAGAAGGTTCCTGAAGCTGAGGCCAGCTGCAGG